AGAAACAGAGATGACAGGAAGTAGAAACAGAGAGGGCAGGAAGTAGAGACGGAGAGGACAGGAAGTAGAGACGGAGAGGACAGGAAGTATAAGACTGAGCTGAATACAGCACCTCAGACTGAGAAAGTCTTTCGGATGAAAGACGAAACGTTTCTACATTTTTTTTTGTTTTTTGTTTTTTTGAATGTCCAGAGGACCAGATTAAATTTTTTTAGATTTTTCTACCTGGATTATTGAGCATCAGGATAATTACAAATACAAACAGGAAGAGAAGAGTAAGTAAAGACAGAAGCAGAGAGAGGACATGTGGTCAGTTTGTCCTCCAGCAGTCTGAGCCTATAGCAGCAGAACTAAAGGACAGCTCAGGAAACCCAAGCCGACCCTAAACTATAGGATTTATCAAAAAAGGAAAGTCTTAATCCCAGTCTTCAAACTGGACAATGTGTCAGCCTCATGGACAGAAACTGGAAGTTGGTTCCACAAGAGAGGAGCCTGAGAACTGAAAGATCTTCCTCCCATTCTGTTTTTATAAACTCTAGGAACCACAAGTAAACCTGCAGTCTGAGAGTGAAGTGCTACAGTGTTACTGTAACTAGTTTGAGTTTTAACTTTTGAAGCTTTTTTTTCTGTATTTCAGTTAATCAATTCAACACAAAAGTGTTTTGGATGTTGACGTTTGCAAAAACCAGAAACGTTCCTAAAGGTTTTATACATTTATTGATTTATTTTTATTTAGATTTATCTTTTGCTACACTGTGACTCCCAACAAAACCACTCAGAAATCCCTCTGTGTTTTTAAATAATCACATATTTGTAGATAAACCTAAAAATGACCAAATATCTAAGCAAACGATCCACACCGGTGACTGCTGACCAGCTGACACCGGTGGCCGCCCGCCTCACCACCGTCCACAAGACTTTACATATCGGTGGGTTTATTCAGATGGTTCTCACTGGCGCGTTACGTTTGGCAACAAGAATGTGAGGCAAACGTGTCGAGGTGAAACCAGCACACAGAAACATAACCGTACCTCTGACGGCTCACAATACCACAAGCCGAATGGAAGAGTGTAGAAGAAGCAGCCGAGGCTCTGACGCGTGGGCGAAAGCTCCAAAGAGCAGCAGAAAACAGACGGTTGTTGTGTTGAGCAGAGAGAAGGAAACGGGTGCATTTCACTTTTCAAACACATTTTAATAACACGCATGTCAACAGGGACGGGTTATCTCATGAATATCATCTAATGAATATCATCTAATGAATATCATCTAATGAATATCATCTAAAGAATATCATCTAAAGAATATCATCTAAAGAATATCATCTAATGAATATCATCTAATGAATATCATCTAA